CGATCGCTGCTTTCATGGAGAGTAGTTCCTTATTTCCAACATCATAGTTGCGCTCAGCGGAGGTTAGTTTTCTGGAGAAGAAAGCACATGGATACAATTTGCTTGGTTGTCCTTGTCGTGTGTGTGTGTCAGAGGGTATTGGAGTAAATGTAATTAGTTACTGTACTTGAGTATCTTTTCGGGTACTTTGTAGTTGTACTGAGTATCAAAGATATTAGCAACTTTTACTCTTTACTTCACTACATTTTTGAATGAGTGTCTGAACTCTTTACTCCACTACATTTGAAATGAGTGTTGCAGTTACACTACATTTTGCATGGACCTAGCTTTTTCTGCAGCAGTTTATTTCTGCTACAAAAGACGTGATACTGCCTATTACAGGCAGGGTTGCCAGGTTTTCACAACAAAACCCGCCCAATTGCTACTCAAAACTAGCCCAATCATGTTTCGAGGGGGATTCCCCGGTAAAAATCGTATTCTGGTGGGGTAAAATACATGTTTCTGGTGGGGTTCCCCTGGTAAAATTCGCATTTTTTGAGCCTATATTTAGTATAAGTAAAATACTTAAGTACTGTTAAAATCAGATACTCTAAGACTTTTACTCAAGTTGTTTTGGAATTGGTGATTTGTAACGTGTAGTGGAGTAATTTTCACTGTAAGGTATCTGTACTTTTACTCAAGTATGGTTTTTAGGTACTCTTTACACCTCTGGTGTGTGTGTGTGTGTGTGTGTGTGTTTTCTGTACTGATATGGAAACTGGCAAAAGGAAAATGTTCTGTGTCAGGAAAAGGGGAACTCATGTTATAAGCAAAGGAAAAGCTTTCAAGAATGTGCAGACAGTTGATTACAGCATGTTATAATCGACGAGTCATTGCACAATAAAGAGGATGCAGAATTTTTGTGGCATCCTCTTTGGCAATAGGATGTGTATCTGTCACCACATGTCTCATTGGTCTTCCAGTTAGAGGTCTAATAGTTACAGCTATTGCCAATGGCATATATTACTTTAATGCCACATAACAGATTCATCTTGCATGACTTGTGATTAATAACATTTTGAATGTCTAGAAAGGATACATATTTTAATAGAATTATTCTTAACAGTAAAGTAGCTGTCTTCAAGCTGTTAAAATAGTCTGCTTCTACGTGGTTGTTGAGGTACAGCCCTTGGAAAATTGTATCTTGAGAGAGAAGTTTCCCATCTGCGTGTAATGTTTCTTCATGATTCCATTGCCAGTGTCCTGAGGCCGAGTGGAACATTAAAGTGAACGGCTCCAACAGTTCCTCTCCAACACCACCCTGTCCTGTCTTTGTGTGGAGTTGGATCTCTGTGTGTGTTCAGACAGAAGCTGTGCTTCCTTCCCTGCCTTTCTATTACCTCTTATTCTACAACAAACAGTTCTTAGTTAGAGAGTGTTTATAAAAGCAGGGCTCCTTAACAGGGGGAACGCAACTGTTCTGCAGGGGGTTCAGCAATTGTTTTGCGATCTCAATAATTTTGTGAGAAAATGAAATAATGCATTAAACAAAAATATAATATTAGGTTCACTTCAACTGAAGCTAAATGCTTCAAAGTCTCTTCTACAATAAAATGTCAATTTTAAATGATTTGCAATGTAAGTATCACATTACATGATATAAATTAGAGATGCACTATATATTGGCTCCATAGTGATTATTGGCTTGTATTAGAGATTTTTTAATCTATCCATATTGACTACATATTGTACAATATTTAGAAGTTTGGAGTCTGTACGAATTTTTAATGTTTTTAAAAGAAGCCTCTTATGCTTACCAAGACTGCATTTATATGATCAAAAACACAATAAAAAGAATAATATTATTACAATTTAAATAAGGTTTTTGATTCTTTGATGACTATAAAGTTCAAACAAACACTATTTATTGCATCCTTGCTGAATAAAAGTATTAATTACTTTAAAAATCTTACTGACCCTAAACATTTAAATAGTTAATTATGCATGCTCTTTTTTACGTTTAGATTACCTTTACTGTCATCTATCACAAGTTAATTTTGATCCAAATACTTTGTATTAACAATATAATCTTTATCAAATCTCAAAATGAATATCTATTTTTCATACTGTAAATTATAATGTTGTAATGCCTAAATTCACTTGTAGCATAAAGCAATCGATTTTAGTTTCAGTGTTTTATTTTTTTATTAAGATAAAATAGTATAGAATTCTAATATTGTTCAATTATCCTTTCAAATACTCTATAAAATTGAGTGTAGTATTACATTTTACATCTCCTTGGTCTGTGTTTGAAGTTTAAACCGTTAAAGCCATCATATGTGAGAGGTAGTGTTTCAACAATCCATGTGTTCACAAGAAAACTTGCACATATCTGGACGTGAATGGAATGACACGAATGCAGTCAAGACATGTTAGTGCATATTCTAAGTGAATTCTAAATGTCACCAGACAGAATACAGAATGCAACTGAAGTGCACAAATCTGAGACAGATTTGATATAGAAACTGCTTTTGTGCACACGTCTTTGTGGTGAGATATGGTGCTCTTGTGCAAATACAGTTGTCTCTGTGGACTTTATTGCAGTTCCTCTAGGCATCTCTTTTCAAAGGTTGAGCATTTGCTGTCTCCATGGCAACCAAATCTCTCTATGGCTGTGTAGGATATCCTCTGCATTTCAAAACAGTTCCCACAGTCTGTGCTTTCATAATAGAATGCCACCTCCCCGTGGTCCTCAACTATGCCTGCCATTAGATAATCATCACATGCAACCCTCCGATATCGAACCGTGTGCTATTCGGGTTTATGCTTTTTTATCCTGTTGCATGACGGATGTGTGCATTTGTCTGCATCCGTTAACTCGCACGGAGTACAAGACAAATATCTCATATACTGTTATGGTTAAGGCTGTTTTAGTATAGGACAGCAGTTTGTGGTCGAAAAGCTTCATGACCTAGATTTAATGATAGGGCATTGCAATTTTTTTCAACTCTTTAATGGATCTGAGTGTATGTCGGCCATTTATATGTGTGTGTGTGTGTGTGTGTGTGTGTTTTGTAGGATCCAGACCCAGACTCCCAGCTGCACAGGTCACTGGGCAGACTGGT